CCCCCACAAAACAAATTCCCCTCCGACAACCAGCCAATATGTACCAACCTTGTAAAATTGCTACCGCTACTGGTAGAACAAACTATCACCTGCTGCCCTCTGAAATCGCACTCCCTGGTGTCCTCTGCTGTTTTATTACAATGTTAAAATATTTACATAGTTGATGAGGTTGGAAAAAATGACAGCATGGCCCTATACAATGGCTGCAGCAGGTGGAAGTCATTTGGAACACAAATGGGGATAGGTCTCACTGCCAGAGATATAAGAAGACTGGTTGTCATTGAACCCAACAGCCTTCACCTAAAATTCATTCCGTTTCAAAGTCAATGCTAGTTCTACCCTGCCCCAGCCCTGAACACCTTTTCTTTCCCTGACACACCACTAACTTTTGTCTTCTCTCTCATTCAGGTTGTTCTGGCGACCCACCGGAGGAGCCAGCAGAAGGTGGCCATCAAGTCTGTCATCAAGACCCACGATGATTACGAAATCCAAACAGAGCGGTATGTGCTGGAGATAGCGGCTGGGTGCCCATTTCTTTCCCAGCTCTACGCCTCTTTCCAGACACGCTTCTCCGCCTGTTTCGTGATGGAGTATGTCTGCGGATTCATTCTATAGAAATTCCATCCATGTGTATTACTGAAAGGAATCCGAGTTCCGGGTCTGGGCAGACAATGTTATTCAGCCTCCATTGTAATAGCTGATCCCCCAGTGTTGTCAGCACCCAGAAGCTGCACCCCTTCATTATGCGTCCATATTCCCCTGGGAGGCTGAGAACTGCCCTCTCTCCTGGACACATTGTAACGCCTACTTAGGTACTGAGGGCGTGGATCACAACTGCGGAGGCTTCTCAGGCAAGAGTCCCTGGCGTCACTCTCAATCTTAGCGGAGAGTTAGGGACTAGAGCATCATAGCCACACTTAAAGTAATGTCATTGCTTTCAGGCAGGATATTACTTCATACCGTGCCCCCAAATTATCCGTAAATAATATATGAGCAGCAACTAATGGAACAAAGCTTTAGTAACTATAACTAGAAATCAGCAACTCAGTCAATATGGAGTAAGTAATTCAGCTTGTAATTGAGGTACACATCATATGCAGTTGCAGATTCAGTCCAAGTATATATTTGCATATGCAACACAGAAGGGAGCCAGTTTGCCCCAAGGTACTTGCGGTTTTATGATCAAGCAGGAGTACGGTTAGGTTGCAGAATGGTCGCAGGTGAAGAATCCGGGTCCAGTATAGTGCTGAGAGAGAGCGTTCCGGCAAAGGTTCCAGGAGATAACAGGCGTTCTGACCTCAATAGTGGAACGCCATGTTATCTCAGCTGGGGCTTTAAATATGGCCAGGAAGTGGGAGGAGCGCTGGTCGGAGCAACTTCCGCGTTCCAGCGTGGAACGCAGCCTGCGCTATCAGAGGCCGGAAGACGAGTGTCTTCCGTGTTCCAGCGTTGAACGCAGCCTGCGCTGTCAGAGGCCGGAAGACGAGTGTCTTCAGCGTTCCAGCGTGGAACGCAAAGCGGCCGTCCTGGGGAGCGGTGGAGCTGTAACGGAACCGCGACCCCTATGTGGAGGACGACGGTTGCCGTTACACACATGTAGGGAGAGGAGTGCTTCCCAAAGTCAGGGGAATTCCCATCTTAGGCTGGCCGAATCCTGCAGAAATTCAACCAGTGTGTGGCCCCATCTGCACCCCTCCCTTCCATCAAAGTCCATTGTTCAACTTTTGTGGAAGGAGCTAGACCTGAAATTATTGGCTGAACAGTGAGTGAAGTCCATCATCTGCAGTCACTGTAGGGGATCCCCTCATCCATGCTGTCACAATATAAAGTGGGGAATTCCCCTCCTCCATGCTGTCACAATATAAAGTGGGGGTTCCCCTCCTCCATGTTGTCACAATATAAAGTGGGGGTTCCCCTCCTCCATGTTTTCACAATACAAAGTGGGGGGTTCCCCTCCTCCATGTTGTCACAATATAAATTGGGGGTTCCCCTCCTCCATGCTGTCACAATACAAAGTTGGGGGTTTCCCTTCTTCATGGTGTCACAATACAAAGTGGGGGGTTCCCCTCCTTTATCCTATAACAATACAAAGTGGGGGGTTCCCCTCCCCATGGTGTCACAATATATAGTGGGGGGTTTCCCTCCTCCATGCTGTCACAATATAAAGTGGGGGTTCCCCTCCTCCATGCTGTCACAATACAAAGTGGGGGGTTCCCCTCCCATGGTGTCACAATATAAATTGGGGGTTCCCCTCCCCCATGGTGTCACAATATATAGTGGGGGGTTCCCCTCGTCCATGTTGTCACGATACAAAGTGGGGGGTTCCCCTCGTCCATGTTGTCACGATACAAAGTGGGGGGTTCCCCTCGTCCATGGTGTCACAATATATAGTGGGGGGTCCCCCTCCTCCATGCTGTCAGTGTGGACGGGGAGGTGGAGACGTCAGAGAAGATCTCGCAGTGTATGGCTGGCTACAGACAGATGTCACTGGAAGATTTGTCCCCATCAGAAGATTTCCCTCATCTCCGCCATTCATGACAACTCTAAGATGTTGGATTTCCTGTCACGTCTGTCTCAGTGATGGTGTCACCAGGACAAAGAGAGGGACAAATCTCCCCACAGGAGACACACACACCAGTAAAGCCATCAGGGAGTCCATACTCATCCTGAGGACAATGGAGACAGCAGATTGTTAGGCCTGTAACCAATGATATGTCAACACAAGAAAACCTACTTACAATTCTAGAGCAGTGACATCCTGTGTAGAGTATGCTTGCACATGATTGGATGATTGAAGTGAATGGCACCCCAAACACGGTCAACAAGACATGCATTTTTGTGTGTGTAAATAAAAGTGACATACCGCAAAAGTGGGTGACTATGAACGCATGCCGCTTGTGTGGGAGGAGTCAGATAGTAGGGCCCCCATATCCATCAGGCCCGGAATGTGAGGCAAAAGACCTGAACAGTCTCCCAACCACCTCCCGTCTGCTGAATGTAGTGAAGCGGCTGGACGGGAGCCTTCTGGCAGCGGGTGGGCATTTTAAAACGTCCCCCGTGCCTGCGCCTGCTCGCCCCCTGGAGCGCATAAGCGGGAAACTGCCAAAATTTGAAACAGTCAGCAATGGCTGTTTACATACAAGCGGTCCGGCATCTGTAAAGACGCCCAATGGCTTGTATGAGGTACCTTTCTGTGTGGCTCCCCCTCTCCGCTCCTACACAAGCATAGTGTGAATGAGTCGGACCAGGAACTGTGGACCCCTTTCACACGGGCCTCCTGTCAGTTTTTGACCCGTGATTACATGGATCAAAAACAGACAGTCATGTACCCCTATCCAGAGGTAAGGAGATCTGTGTCTGTTGACATCTGCTTATACCTGTTCCGGTTTGTTGGACCAAACACAATACATTCGTGTGCAGGGTATACATACGTGTCCAGGTCTGAATGTGGGCGAATATAGGCAAACACTGATAGGGATTACATGGGTTCTTTTTCCCTCCGTCACAAGATGAAGGAAAACATGGAATGGACACGGATGTCACATATGTACCACAAACGCCTATATTGATTACATGGATCCATTTCTTCTCCATCAGAAAATGACGGATAACAGGGCATGAACATGGATGTCACATATGTTACACGAATGCCTATATTGATTACATGGGTCCATTTCTCCTCCGTCACAAGATGAAGGATAACATGGTACAGACATGGATATCACATACTGTATGTGACACGAACGCCTACAGTGATTACAAGTCTATTTCTCACCGTCACAAGATGACAGATAACATGGAATGGACACGGATTGTCATATATGTGACACAAGCGCCTATATTGATACATGGGTCTATTTCTCTTCTATCAGAAGATAAAGAATAACATGCGATGGACACGGATGTCCCATATGTGAGACGAATGCCTATATTGATTACATGGGTCCATTTCTCCTGTCATAAGATGACAGATAACATGGAATGGACATGGATTTCACATGCAGAGATTACATGGATATGTTTTCCTCTGTCACAAGATGAATGAAAACACGGAATGGACATGGAAGTCACATACAGGACACGGACACCTATAGAGATTACATAGCTCTGTTTTTCCACCTATACAAGATGAAGGAAAACACGGAATGTACACGGATGTCAGATACAGGACACGGACACCTATAGAGATTACATGGGTTTGTTTTTGCTCATCACAAAATGAAGGAAAACAGGAATGTACACAGATGTCACATACAGGACACGGGCACCTATAGAGATTACATGGCTGTTTTTCCTCCGTCACAAGATGAAGGAAAACACGGAACGGACACGGATGTCACATACAGGACACAGACACCTATGTAGATTACATAGCTGCTTTTTCACCTATGCAAGATGAAGGAAAACACTGAATGTACACGGATGTCACATACAGGACACGGACACGGACACCTATAGAGATTACATGGGTTTGTTTTTGCTCATCACAAGATGAAGGAAAACACAGAATGTACACGGATGTCACATACAGGACACGGACACCTATAGAGATTACATGGCTGTTTTTCCTCCGTTACAAGATGAAGGAAAACACGGAATAGACACGGATGTCACATACAGGACACGGATACCTATAGAGATTACATGGCTGTTTTTTCTCTGTCACAAGATGAAGGAAAACACAGAATGTACACGGATGTCACATACAGGACACGGACACCTATATAGATGACATGGCTATTTTTCCACCTATACAAGATGAAGGAAAACATGGCTGTGACGTTTTTGTTGTGATGTGACTCGGCAGGGGATTAGTCTATGATCTCCAACACATGTGTGCTATTATTCTCCTGACTATAAAGAATCATTCCTAGAACAATGGCATGGCATCCACATTACTGCACGCTCCCTCCAGGGTGACGGACTCTGCCCCGGTGTTATGGCGGCGGAAGTATTCTACGGCTACACGTAGTACGCGGCGCGATCACATTGTGCGCGGAGTGATCCACCTCTACGCGCACACAGGCCTATTTCCCGGCGGAAGGATTCACACGCGCGGCGTGGGGAGGGTTTAAAGGAGGAAGGAAGCCATTTTGGACCTTCGACTAAGGAAAAACGCGAGGCTAGAAAATATACATTACATATGTCCAAGAGTGGTAATACGATATATTTACGCAGATAAAAACAGCATTAAGAGACGAAAGAAGAAAAGAATACGGCGGCGTCGACGATTTGGAAGAACGCTCCGCAGGGTGCGTGTGGTGATATGCGGGTCGGGAAGGGGGAGAGATGGCGGGGAGCGGGTGGGGTGAACGATCAGATATTGAAGGGGGAGATGCAAGCTTTGTGGTGGTGATGGAGGGTAAGTGTCAGGACGAGGAGGGGAAGGTGCGGGCGGTGTCCGGCGTATAGTTGGTAGGCCTCGGGAGGTTACGCACTATGCCCGGTATTGTGGCCTCCAACCTCCCTGGGCCTCCCCCCTGGATTCCTGTGTACTATAGAACTGGGGTTTGTGCTTTGCTGTATGTTCGGTATCGTCTGACGTGTAATTAAGTCATGGCTGGCATTTTGCGGCCTATTACGTCATAGAGAAGGCCTGAGAGCGCAGAGCGGCTGCTCTGTCTACATGGCAGGTCCGTCTGTCTTCCCGGATACTCTACGGCCTTGTTTATAGTGCTACGGAGGCTGCTGTACGGTGGGTGGAAATTGGACTTTGTCCTACTAGAGCCTTTACATAGACGATCCACCCTTTGAAAAAGAAATGCACCCACATTGATAGGAGGGAATCTGCATTTAGGATTTTTTTTACATTGAAGCCTGCAGAGCTGTGCGTCACAGATGCAAAACACGGCCCCCTGCATTGTTTACTTCCCAGTCTCTATGGAGGCACTGAACTACTGTTCTGGGTCAGGAGGAAGTAAACAATGGACTACGGGTGTGATGATATCATGGCACTTGGGATCCATTAAGATCGACAAGTTTCTTTGCTGCAGTGGAAGATGGGATTAGTAGTCTTTCCATTCACGGATCCCTGTGAATAGATGACATGGCTGTGTCGGCTGACTGAAGGCTGTGAGTAGCAACCTGTGATTCTGGTTAGTGGGGGGAACAGCTAGGCCCCTTTTTCACGGGCTGATCAGCAGAGAATATGTACACTGATCCTCTTCTGATCACAGCAGTCCGAAGTGGATGCCACTGCTGTGACATCCGTGTCCAGTTTTTTTTTTTCCCCTCCATTGCAAAAAAACTGCATTTACCGCACCCAGTCTGTCTGTCCATGGGGAATCGCATGTGAACTGACGTGTCCGTTTACATCAGATTATGTCCGGCGACAGCGGATTTCTCTGCTCAGTTTGTTTTTCCGGAGTTGGTGGTAAACGTAAGACTGTCCCGATGTAGATTTACATAGTAATTCTGATCTCCTTGAAAAACTGCCAGGTGGACCTGATCGGACCGTCCTTGCCAAAGCGGCCTTACAGGTTGGGGAATGTGACCATGTTTTGCACCTTAAATATGGCTGTAGCATGGTTACAAAGGTGAACTGAGCAGTTAAGACAAGCTATTGTCTCCTGAGGCTCAGTTCACAAAGATTCAACACAGAGGTATGGATATATTTTCAGATGTTACTGTTTTTGTTCTAAACTGATTGACAATTTTTAGAAAACAAGGTTCCTTATCTTGGTGTGTGACCTTTGTGAATTGATCCTCTCAGGGCTCATTCAGATGGGTGAATAGACAGCTGTTTTCCGTTGCAGCTGAATAGCAGTACTCTGCTGTTCTCATACAAAGTGGACAATTAGCTGTGTGGCCAGACCAGGACACAGTGTCTGCATTCAGAGCCGCGCAGACTCTAATAGCTTGTAATTGCTGCTGTAAGAGGTTATATGTGAACAGCAGCAGCGTTGGTTATTGATTTTGCATAGGTCACAAATTTGGTTAGGGTGATTCACACAAGGCCCGTGCACAGGGCTAGCTTCATACTCATCTGATTAAGGCTGGTGTAGACCTGGGCGCGATTGTGTGCAGTTGCCGCGTGACCCCATTGATTTTAATGGGGGTTACATCCGCACGACAATCGCAGAAAAAAAAAGTACATGTACCTGTTCGGTTGCACGGGAGGAATTGCGGCAGGAAACTGCGTGATCTGCCCGGCACGACTGGGATGCCTTTCGAAAATGCCACCGCCAGCATGAACTGTGTTGGTGGGCGTTTCCGTGACCGTGCGGTTTCGTGCACGATTGCCACACGGTCACAAATTGCCATAGTGTGAACCTGGCCTGAGCCCTTAAAGGAGAACTATGGGGTCAGGGCTTTTCCCCATAGTTCTCTGGGTAACGGGAGGACACAAACTAGCGTCCTCCCGTTACCCTAAGCTCAGTATACTGCGAGCTATAGCTCGCGGTATACTGAGACGCCGGAGCGGATCCCGACATCGATTCACAAGATGAAGGAAAACACGGAATAGACACGGATGTCACATACAGGACACGGATACCTATAGAGATTACATGGATGTTTTTTCTCTGTCACAAGATGAAGGAAAACACAGAATGTACACGGATGTCACATACAGGACACGGACACCTATATAGATGACATGGCTATTTTTCCACCTATACAAGATGAAGGAAAACATGGCTGTGACGTTTTTGTTGTGATGTGACTCGGCAGGGGATTAGTCTATGATCTCCAACACATGTGTGCTATTATTCTCCTGACTATAAAGAATCATTCCTAGAACAATGGCATGGCATCCACATTACTGCACGCTCCCTCCAGGGTGACGGACTCTGCCCCGGTGTTATGGCGGCGGAAGTATTCTACGGCTACACGTAGTACGCGGCGCGATCACATTGTGCGCGGAGTGATCCACCTCTACGCGCACACAGGCCTATTTCCCGGCGGAAGGATTCACACGCGCGGCGTGGGGAGGGTTTAAAGGAGGAAGGAAGCCATTTTGGACCTTCGACTAAGGAAAAACGCGAGGCTAGAAAATATACATTACATATGTCCAAGAGTGGTAATACGATATATTTACGCAGATAAAAACAGCATTAAGAGACGAAAGAAGAAAAGAATACGGCGGCGTCGACGATTTGGAAGAACGCTCCGCAGGGTGCGTGTGGTGATATGCGGGTCGGGAAGGGGGAGAGATGGCGGGGAGCGGGTGGGGTGAACGATCAGATATTGAAGGGGGAGATGCAAGCTTTGTGGTGGTGATGGAGGGTAAGTGTCAGGACGAGGAGGGGAAGGTGCGGGCGGTGTCCGGCGTATAGTTGGTAGGCCTCGGGAGGTTACGCACTATGCCCGGTATTGTGGCCTCCAACCTCCCTGGGCCTCCCCCCTGGATTCCTGTGTACTATAGAACTGGGGTTTGTGCTTTGCTGTATGTTCGGTATCGTCTGACGTGTAATTAAGTCATGGCTGGCATTTTGCGGCCTATTACGTCATAGAGAAGGCCTGAGAGCGCAGAGCGGCTGCTCTGTCTACATGGCAGGTCCGTCTGTCTTCCCGGATACTCTACGGCCTTGTTTATAGTGCTACGGAGGCTGCTGTACGGTGGGTGGAAATTGGACTTTGTCCTACTAGAGCCTTTACATAGACGATCCACCCTTTGAAAAAGAAATGCACCCACATTGATAGGAGGGAATCTGCATTTAGGATTTTTTTTACATTGAAGCCTGCAGAGCTGTGCGTCACAGATGCAAAACACGGCCCCCTGCATTGTTTACTTCCCAGTCTCTATGGAGGCACTGAACTACTGTTCTGGGTCAGGAGGAAGTAAACAATGGACTACGGGTGTGATGATATCATGGCACTTGGGATCCATTAAGATCGACAAGTTTCTTTGCTGCAGTGGAAGATGGGATTAGTAGTCTTTCCATTCACGGATCCCTGTGAATAGATGACATGGCTGTGTCGGCTGACTGAAGGCTGTGAGTAGCAACCTGTGATTCTGGTTAGTGGGGGGAACAGCTAGGCCCCTTTTTCACGGGCTGATCAGCAGAGAATATGTACACTGATCCTCTTCTGATCACAGCAGTCCGAAGTGGATGCCACTGCTGTGACATCCGTGTCCAGTTTTTTTTTTTCCCCTCCATTGCAAAAAAACTGCATTTACCGCACCCAGTCTGTCTGTCCATGGGGAATCGCATGTGAACTGACGTGTCCGTTTACATCAGATTATGTCCGGCGACAGCGGATTTCTCTGCTCAGTTTGTTTTTCCGGAGTTGGTGGTAAACGTAAGACTGTCCCGATGTAGATTTACATAGTAATTCTGATCTCCTTGAAAAACTGCCAGGTGGACCTGATCGGACCGTCCTTGCCAAAGCGGCCTTACAGGTTGGGGAATGTGACCATGTTTTGCACCTTAAATATGGCTGTAGCATGGTTACAAAGGTGAACTGAGCAGTTAAGACAAGCTATTGTCTCCTGAGGCTCAGTTCACAAAGATTCAACACAGAGGTATGGATATATTTTCAGATGTTACTGTTTTTGTTCTAAACTGATTGACAATTTTTAGAAAACAAGGTTCCTTATCTTGGTGTGTGACCTTTGTGAATTGATCCTCTCAGGGCTCATTCAGATGGGTGAATAGACAGCTGTTTTCCGTTGCAGCTGAATAGCAGTACTCTGCTGTTCTCATACAAAGTGGACAATTAGCTGTGTGGCCAGACCAGGACACAGTGTCTGCATTCAGAGCCGCGCAGACTCTAATAGCTTGTAATTGCTGCTGTAAGAGGTTATATGTGAACAGCAGCAGCGTTGGTTATTGATTTTGCATAGGTCACAAATTTGGTTAGGGTGATTCACACAAGGCCCGTGCACAGGGCTAGCTTCATACTCATCTGATTAAGGCTGGTGTAGACTTGGGCGCGATTGTGTGCAGTTGCCGCGTGACCCCATTGATTTTAATGGGGGTTGCATCCGCACGACAATCGCAGAAAAAAAAAGTACATGTACCTGTTCGGTTGCACGGGAGGAATTGCGGCAGGAAACTGCGTGATCTGCCCGGCACGACTGGGATGCCTTTCGAAAATGCCACCGCCAGCATGAACTGTGTTGGTGGGCGTTTCCGTGACCGTGCGGTTTCGTGCACGATTGCCACACGGTCACAAATTGCCATAGTGTGAACCTGGCCTGAGCCCTTAAAGGAGAACTATGGGGTCAGGGCTTTTCCCCATAGTTCTCTGGGTAACGGGAGGACACAAACTAGCGTCCTCCCGTTACCCTAAGCTCAGTATACTGCGA